CAGTTCCGACTGGGCCCTGCATCGTGTCCCGCGGGCAGAGAGAGGATCTGGGCCAGTCGGAGCTCCTGCTGCCCAGCTCAGGCTGTGCCACCCGTGGCTGGGGCTCCTGTGGGAGCCGTGCCCGTGGAGCTCCCGTTGGGAGCCGTGTCCGTGGAGCTCTCATCGGAGCCCTGGCTGTGCCACAGCACAGGCGCCCCTGGGAGCTGTGTCCTCTCCCCAGAGCAGGCTGCACTGCTTGTTTCTGGCGCTTTATTCGATGCTATTTGTGGGAACCCAAGCAGTCTGGCAAGGAAATCTGTTCCACGTCGTGTCAGGGCTGCACGCGCACGTCCCAGTGTGTGTTTTCCCAGCGTGTGGGGTTGGGATTTTCCGAAGGGCTGAGCTGCTGCTCTCTGATCGTCCCTGCAGGAGCGAGAGGATCACTGCCGCAGGGGCGCCGAGGAGCGGAAGCAGAGGCACCCGGCGGAGCAGGAGCACCGGCGGGAGCGGGACAGGAGCGGGGAGCGGCACAAGGAGCACGCAGACAGGAGGAAGAACCCCGGGGAGAGGCTGGGGGGGCGCAGCCACGAGCGGGAGGCGCAGACCCTGCGGGAGCAGCAGGCGGAGCGGGAGCTGCACAACGAGCGGCGGCGGGAGCAGCGGCAGAGCAGCGAGCAGAGCGCAGAGCCCTGGCAGGGAGAGAGCAAAGCCAAAGAAAAACCCGCTGCCAACAAGGAGAAGCCGAGCTTCGAGCTGTCGGGGGCGCTGCTGGAGGACACCAACACCTTCCGGGGCGTGGTGATCAAGTACAGCGAGCCCCCCGAGGCGCGCATCCCCAAGACGCGCTGGCGCCTGTACCCCTTCAAGAACGACGAGTTCCTGCCCGTGATGTACATCCACAGGCAGAGCGCCTACCTGCTGGGCCGGCACCGCCGCATCGCCGACATCCCCATCGACCACCCCTCCTGCTCCAAGCAGCACGCCGTCTTCCAGTACCGGTGAGGGCCTGACAGGGTTCCAGACGCTTCCAGGTGGTTTTTGAGTTGGTTTTGGTAATGCAGTTTGTGATTTTTTTTTTTTACGTAAGTAAGAAACGTGAGTTTAGTTCACGTTTTTACAGTATGGGTTAAAAACTTACAGGAGTCGTAGGTTAAAAAGCTTACTGTCTTCCAGTACCTCTTCCAGTACTGGTGAGAGCCTGGCAGGAGTTCCAAACGGGTTCCCGGGTGGTTTTTGAGTTGGTAATGCAGTTTGTGGGTTTATTTTTACATAAGTAAGAAAACCGAGTTCACGTTTTTACAGTGTGGGTTGAAAGGTCACAAGAGTCTTAGGTTAAAAAGGTTACTGTCTTCTAGTACCTGTGAGAGCCTGGGATGAGTTCTGAGCGGGTTTCAGGTGGTTTTTGAGTTGGTAATGCAGTTTGTGGGTTTTTTTTTAATGTAAGTAAGAAAAGTGAGTTCACGTTTTTGCAGGAGGAGCTTTAGGGATGATACAACCCCTCTCAGAATCTGCTGTCTCGCAGTTTCTTGTTGCTCTCCTTGGTTCAGATGAGTGTTCACTGCACAACCCACCTGCTGGTGGAGCACAGTTTGTGCCTCACCTGCTCTCAGCTATATCTCTGGTGGCTCAGGCAGTGCTTTGTCCCGCAGGCTGGTGGAGTACACCCGAGCTGACGGCAGCGTGGGCCGCAGGGTGAGGCCCTACATCATCGACCTGGGCTCGGGGAACGGCACCTTCCTCAACAACCAGCGCATCGAGCCCCAGCGCTACTACGAACTGAAGGAGAAGGACGTGCTCAAGTTCGGCTTCAGCAGCCGGGAGTACGTCCTGCTGCACGAGTCCTCGGATAAATCTGAGGCCAACGCCAAGGACGATGATGAGGATGAGGAGAAGGAGGAGGAGTCTGACAGTTAACGGATGAGGAAGAAGCAGGGGAGAGGCAGAGGAGAGAAACTCCTCGCGGTTGGACGGGACTGGGATGTGAACACGGAGCATTGCAGCACTGATGCCTCTTGTTGCCTTAAAGTCCTTTCTGTGTTGCTGGTCTGTTCCCATAGTTTGTTTTGGGGGGGCTTTGCTCGTTATTCGTGTTTGATAGTTTTGCATATCAGGAAATACAGCTTTATTTTTATTTTTATTTTATTTTTCTCCCAAGAAGCCGAAGAGCACCTGGATGTGAAAACTCTGGTGCTGGAAACCCTCCACAGTTGTTGTCAGACTCTTCCAGCAAATCATGTCAAACACAGACAGCATCTGGAAAATTTTTATGACTTTGAAAATGCTTTGAAATCCTTTGAAATCCTTTGAAAATGCTACAGACTGAAAGGTTAGTTAGAGAGTACCCAATGCACGTCCTTTTCCGTAGTTTGCCAAATTCCTCTGCCTGTTGGGAGTTCTGACAGGAGAATTTACCTGGATCACTGCTAAAATGGCAGAAATGTGCAAAGGCCCTAATGAATTTGTATGTTTTGGGTATCTAATTTGCCTCATGGTGACTGAGGGATGGGCATTTCACTGGAATTCTGCCTGGGAATCACAAGGGAATGTGAAACAGAAGTTAAACAATTCCTGGAATTTCAGGTGATGAGACTGTGACCCAAGTTCCCTGTTCCCACACATGATGCTGAAACTGTCCTGGATGTGAGTGTCTGGGTTGTAAGCTAGAGCCCTTATTTCTGCCCCCACCCCAGGGTTTGTGTCAGACAGAAACACCTGTGACAGGGTGACGTGTTTTAACCAGTTTGCACTATTTAAGTTCTCTTTTTATAACAACTTCCCCAAGTCCTTTGTTGAACACAGTGTTTAGGGAGAGAAGCACCAGTCCCACTCAGTGGGAGTTGCAGTTTTTGGTGTCTCCTCCAACGCTGCTTTATGTTCAGTGTGTATGTCCCACCCTTCACTAATTTCACTGGGTGTTTGTGGTCTCACCTGTTCGTCCCTGCTGTGTACAGACTGTACACAAAGGTGCTTGTTGTACACATTGACAGTGTAAATATGGGGCATTGCTGTGGGGTTTCAGATGGGTAGGATGGGGTTTGAGCAGGAGGAGCTCCTTTATATCTGCTCCAAGGGTTTTTAAATAAACAATTTGTAAATTTAGCCATGATTGCTTTCACTTGTAATATTTTTCTAGTGTCCTTTTTTTTTTTTTTCCCTCAAAAGAAATGAAGTTTCAGTACTTGTTTCTGTAGTAAAGAAACCAAGTAAGTTCAAAGCTGCACAGTTTGTATCCTGGAGAGGCTGTGAGCACAGCAGGTTTGTATTGCTCCCCTATCTCACCTGGGTGTGGCCAGGGTGGCTCATTCTGTGTCCCCTGTCTCACTGGAATGGGAAGTGACAGAATTGCTGTACTGCAGAAGGGCAAACTGGCCCCCAAACTGCAGAGGATCGGAGCGACACAGTTTAATAGGATCACAGAAACGTTTGGGTTGGAGGTGTCAGGAAAATCAACCCACAAACACCTGAGGGTTATGGCCAAAAAGGAGACAGAAGAGTCCTGGAACTTGATTCCAATAAAAGGACACGCCATGGGTCATTTTGCATCGAGTCTCTCAAGTTGTTAGAGGATGAAGCTTCCTTTTTATCCCAATTTCCCAGCCACATTTCCCTCCCTCTTTCCCCACTGGCTGAGGTATTTGGGAGGTACAAACTTCCCAAAACACCTAATACAGACCCCCTTCTAATGTATAACCCCACCTTTTCCTTGTGTCAGTCAGTGGAATTCCTATAGAATCAATGCTTCTTCCCACTGCTTCTTTCATCTCTCAGTATCCAATTTTATTTACCAGCAGACTCACAATAGATCTGTAAACACAAATCCCTCTCATTCCATTCATTAATCAGTGAAATCCCACTGCTGCTTTTACCTCTCAGCACTCGTTTTACCTCCCCACAGTTGGTTTGTAAAGACAAATCCCTTATTGCTTTCAGAGGGACCCTGAAGGCTGCAGAACCGGGGAATATCTGAATATCTGAATAGGGGAATATCTGAATATCTGAACTGGGGACTACCTGAATCACCGGGTGGGCAGAACCACCGACCGTTCCCATCTGCATCGCTGCTGTCGCCACCGCTGTCGCTGTCCCTGTCGCTGTCCCTGTGTCCCTGTCCCGTTCCTGTCCTGGTCCCTGTCCTGTTCCTGTCCCTGTCTCTGTCCCTGTCCCCATCCCTGTCCCTGTGTCCCTGTCCCGTTCCTGTCCTGGTCCCTGTCCTGTTCCTGTCCCTGTCCCGGTCCCGGTCCCTGTCCCCATCCCTGTCCCTGTGTCCCTGTCCCCTGTCCCTGTGTCCCTATCCCTGTCTCTCTGTGTCCCCATCCCTGTCCCCATCCCTGTCCCTGTGTCCCTGTCCCCTGTCCCCGTCCCGGTCCCTGTCTCTGTGTGTCTGTCCCCATCCCCGTCCCTGTCTCTGTGTCCCTGTCCCCTGTCCCTGTGTCCCTGTCCCTGTCTCTCTGTGTCCCCATCCCTGTCCCCATCCCTGTCCCTGTGTCCCTGCCCCTGTCCCCGTCCCCATCCCTGTCCCTGTCCCCATCCCTGTCCCCGTCCCGGTCCCCGTCCCGGTCCCTGTGTGTCTGTCCCTGTGTCCCTGTCCCCATCCCTGTCCCTGTGTCCCTGTCCCCTGTCCCCGTCCCGGTCCCTGTCCCTGTGTCTCTGTCTCTCTGTCCCCATCCCCGTCCCTGTCTCTGTGTCCCTGTCCCCTGTCCCTGTGTCCCTGTCCCTGTGTCCCTGTGTCCCCATCCCTGTCCCGGTCCCTGTCCCTGTGTCCCTGCCCCTGTCCCCATCCCTGTCCCTGTCCCTGTCCCTGTGTCCCTGTCTCTGTCCCCGTCCCTGTCCCTGTGTCCCCATCCCTGTCTCTGTGTCTCTGTGTCCCTGTCCCCATCCCTGTCCCTGTGTCCCTGCCCCTGTGTCCCTGTCCCTGTCCCTATGTCCCGGTCCCCATCCCTGTGTCCCTGTCCCTGTGTCCCTGTGTCTCTCTGTCCCCATCCCCGTCCCCGCCGCTGTCGCCTCCCCCCCCGCCGCTCGCGGCTCCGCAGCGCCCCTGGCGGCCGCCCGGCGCCATGGCCGCGCCCCGCCCCGCGCAGGCCGCGCCGCCATGGCCGCGCTGCACGCCAAGGCCGGCGGGCCGCCGCAGATCCCGGACACCCGCCGGGAGCTGGCCGAGCTGGTCAAGCGCAAGCAGGAGCTGGCGGTGAGCGCCGGGGCCGGGCCGGCCGCGGGCGGGCGGCGGCGGGGCGGGCGGGCGGCGGCGGGGCCGGGCGGCGCGGCCGGGCCTGCTCCATGCGCGGCGGTGTTCCCTCAGGAGACGCTGGCCAACCTGGAGCGGCAGATCTACGCCTTCGAGGGCAGCTACCTGGAGGACACGCAGATGTACGGCAACATCATCCGCGGCTGGGATCGCTACCTCACCAACCAGAAGTGAGTGGCGGAGGCGCTGCCCGCCGGCCCGGGCCCCGCCCGCCGGCCCCGCCATCCCGCCTGTCTCTGTTTCAGGAACTCCAACAGCAAAAACGACCGCAGGAACCGCAAGTTCAAGGAGGCCGAGAGGCTCTTCAGCAAGTCCTCGGTCACCTCGGCAGCGGTGAGTGCCGGGATGAGCCCTGACCGCTGTGCTCACCCCTCTCCTTAGCCCTGTCCCCATCCCTTTCCTTGCCCCCATTCCTCTTCCTGTTTTTTCCCATCCCATCCCTCAGTCCTGCTGTGGTCACCTGCAGAATGACTTCCCCGTTTGCAATCCCTTACCTGCCCTGGCTCCCTGCCCTAAGCATCCCCATCCCAGTCTCCATTCCCATCCCTTTCCTTGCCCCCATTCCTGTTCCTGTTTTATCCCCATCCCATCCCTGTCCCTTGGTGCCTCAGTCCTGCTGTGATCACCTGCAGAATGACTTCCCCTCAGTCCTGCTGTGATCACCTGCAGAATGACTTCCCCTCAGTCCTGCTGCGATCACCTGCAGAATGACTTCCCCATTTGCACCCCCTTACCTGCCCTGGCTCCCTAAGCATCCCCATCCCACCCTGCAGCCCCTTCCAGAGCCCCTTTCCCAGTGTTTGGGGTGGGAGGCTGCCTGTGCCTGCTGTCACCGCTGTCCCCTGGCTTTGTCACCAGAGCCCGGTGCCACACGGGGCCATGGCATCAGAGGGACGTGTCTGTGTGAGCTGGGCTCCGTGCTTTGAGCATTAGGAAGTGAATCCCTGCTTGGCTTGACATCCCATTTGGTTTCCCAGGCTGTCAGTGCGTTAGCTGGAGTCCAGGACCAGCTCATTGAGAAGCGTAAGTCCCCTTTGTCACTTTTCTCTGAATTTGGGGAGAATTACACTCTCTCCACCTGTTCAGCCCTGTCTCAGCCTTCCAGATCTGGGCTGGGGTCTGGCTCCCCTTCCCAGTCCCTGTGTCTGCTGCCCTCGGGCTGCTCCTGTTGACTTCCCAAGTTCTTTCCAGGCTCAGAGGGCTTTGTTGTGTGTAAAAGGGATTGGAATTGCTTTGGTGCTGTGTGGAGGAAGAGGCTGGACGAGCTGAAGCACTGCATCTGCAGATGTGTCAGTCACAGGAGACCTGGGGAGGGACCACTCACCCCCAGGACACTGCAAAAACAATTTATAATCAGCACCAAAGGGGCTGTAGTTCCTCAGTGCTGAGGAGCAGCTTCTGTCTGTCCTGCAGGGCTGTGTCCCAGGCTCTGTGATTCACCTGGTGCTGCAGGGCCCAGGTGCCTCTGCTGCTGTGCTGGGGTTTTGTGCCAGGAGCTCACCCTGGTGCTCACCTGGCTTTGTCCTGCTCTAGGGGAGCCGGGCAGTGGCACAGAGAGTGACACTTCTCCAGACTTCCACAACCAGGAGAATGAGCCCAACCAGGAGGATGCTGAAGAGCTGGATGGCTCCGTGCAGGGTGTGAAGCCCCAGAAAGCTGCTTCCTCCACTTCCTCTGGGAGCCACCACAGCAGCCACAAAAAGAGAAAGAACAAAAACAGACACAGGTCAGTGGGACCAGCAGCCTGCTCACCACACCTGGACAGTTGGCTGGGGCTGGATTGAATTTATTGCCTGAGGGGAACCAGTAACACGTTGGAATCACCAACAGGCAGCTGGGGTCAGTTGTTTGGGTGTTTTTCCTGGTTTTGGAAGAGGAGGGGAGAGTGCTGAGGAAGTTAAACAAGCAGCACAGGGTGCTCACTCCAGCTGTAGCACAGCTGTGCTTCTGGGCAGCTTCTCCAGCTCTTCCATCTCTTCAGGATAAAGCTTATTCCTTCCAGCAGGTCCTGACCTCCTGAGCTTGCTGCTTGGTTTCGGTAGGCAGGAATGTTAGTGCTTTCTTTGAAGGAGGGTGGAAAGCAAATGGGAAAGTTTTGGGGGTTTTGGACACTCCCAGTGTCTGGATTTCCACTGCAGCCCCTTCCAGCTCTCACATCCCTACTGAGTCTCAGTGCTGGCATAGAGGAGTTGCTGTGTCACCTTCACCTAAGAGTGTTTGTTATTAAACTGACCTGAAATTCACGTGAAACAGATTCCTTGAACTCTTTTCTGGTTGGATTTCCCTGTCCAGCTCTGCCCCTAAGGTGTAACGAGGGCGATGAGCTGGTCCCTGTGCCCTCAGCCCAGGCTCTGGCAGTGACAGTGGCCCTGAGGGAGGAGAACTGAGGAGAGGAGATACTCAGAGCTGTCTGGAAGGATTGCTGAAGCTGGGGGCTAAGGATCTCACAGAAGTAATGGAGCTTTTAAAACTCTCTAGTTTGAAAAGCTCTCTCAGAGCCAGTCTGTGCCTGCTCTGAGCTGTTGCCTCTGCCTAGGGACAGGCTCTCCTCTCTAAGGGACCTACCATGCAATTAGAGAAAGGATTTAAAGTGGTAAAAGTTTAAAAGGGGGGCTGGAGACAGTTGGGGTGGGGTCACGAGGTAGGTACAATGCTTGCAAAATGCTTAACTCCTTTTTTGCCTTCATTAAGTGTTGAGTCATTAGTGTGTCTTTAATTCTTGGGTCAGAATTTCCTTCCTACAGCAGCCTGAATTGGGCAAATATCCAAAAGGACTGGATGTCCCTTTGGTTCCCCATGAGCTGGGAATCCAAAGAAGTTCAAATCTCTTTTTTTGCCTGTAGATATTTGGAAGAAGTTCAGGAATAACACAAGAAACTACATCCGTGAACAAGTCCAGAGAAACAACCTGTAAAACTGAAGTACAGCTTAAGAAAACTGCCATTTCAAACAAATTATAAAATATTCTCCCTGCACAAACCATGGCCAACACCATGGTGGGGTGCAGGGCAGGTGCTGGAACTGACATAATTCTCTTTGCTCTGGTCCATGACCTGGACTTTAGGGACAGGGGCTGGGGGGAAGCTGCCTCCCAACAGGTTGTGTGGCTCTGGGTTCCTTCACATCCCCTCTGCAGCTTTGGCTGCTGCTGCCAGGCCAGGCTGCTGGGCAGAGGAGCCCTGCCCTGCTCACCTGTGGCAGCTTCACTCAGCGAGGCAGGAACTGACTGTTTGTAATGCTTAGCAGGGCCAGATAGATAATTAAAAATGATAAAAAGATAATTAAATTTGTCTGTAATAAAAGCTCTGTTAAAATTGTGATTTCTGTTACTGACTATCCCCTAAATTTTGGCAGAGAGGACCAAACAATTCTCAAGTATATTTAGGCTAAAAACACCCCAGCAACAACCCAGTCCCTGATTGTGCAGCGAGGGTGTTCCACAACCCCACAGGTGCTCCAGCCAGACCTGTGGGTCTGTCCCCTGTGGGGTCTGCCGTGAAAAAGAGAAAAATAAAAAGAAATGCTGGCTTTTCTCTTGATTCAGAAGCTCTTCCTCTTGCCAGCACGACTCTGGGTTTCGCTCCCCCGTTCTGGAGGGGAAAGGGCCCTGCAGGAGCCTCGCTGGGTTCCCCCACGGGGACCTTTGGCTCCAGGTGCACACAGGGCCTCAGGTGTGGCTCCACAGGCTCTGCTGTCCCTCTGCTCCCTGCCACACCACAGCAAGGCCAGGCTGGATATTCTCTGTGTGCTCAGCTGTTGTCACAGCTAATAAATAAAGAGTTTGAGGGAACCCAGCGCTGTTTGCTCCTAGCAGTGCAGTGCTGGGATGGGATTCTGTGCTCAATCCTTCCCCACCCGTGCCAGCTGTGGGCACAGCTGTGTCTGGAGGTGCTGCTGTGGCTTTGCCCGAGGGGTGGGACAGTCACCAAACTGCTCAGCTCTGGCCAAACGTCCCTGGGCCCCCCTGCTGGGGACAGTGCTGGGGGTGTGGGGGGAGCACCCAGTGCAGGGTTGGGCACCAAGTTCTGTGTCACCTCTCCCGAGCCAGCTGCGCCTTGCCCTGGCAGCCCAGCCCCTCCCCAGCCTCCTGAGCCCTCACTTTGCTTTTCCAAGCCCTGGGGTCCTGTCCTGCCCCTGAGCTCTGCCCTCTGCGGGTCTGCCCCTCCTCCAGCTCCTAAAATCCCGTGTGAACCAAACCCACCTCAGCCAACAGCTCTTGTTCCCAGAGACCCACTGGGGAGAGGGACTCTGGATTGCCAGCCCAGAGTGCTTTTTGTGTCCAGTCCTGGTTAATCAGATACCTGAAGAACTTGGTGTTTGAACACTGGCTTTATTATTTATTTCATTTAATTTTTTAGCAATCTCGCTAGGGTGGCTAATCAATTAATTGATTTAATTCATTAATATATTAATTTCTATTGCTTTCTTCCTTTCAAATGCTGCCCCTCAGCCCGTCTGGCATGTTTGATTATGACTTTGAGTAAGTTTGACTTGAATTAGTACTTGTGCTGTGTTGTTAGTGTGTAGACACCGATGTGCCTTTTGAGACCTCGCTAACCCCTAGTTTATCTGTTTAATTGTAGGTATGTATATTAGGTTAGGCTGGGAAGTTTTTTTTAAAAACAGAAAAGCGTGATGGAGGTAACATTTTATTTAATAACTTCAGCAAATTATAAATTAACTCCACTCTTCTTTACCTTTCTGTTTCGTATTTAAATAGATAAAACTTTTTAACTTTAAAACTTAGTTTAAAAACTGATTCTTTTGGCTTTGCTGCTTAAGGAGATAAGTATAGACATGGATATTTCCTGTTGGAAAAATGTACTAAACTCAGTAATTTTGGCTCATATAATCTCTGTCATCTTAACTCCTCTCTCTATCCAAGTAAATAACTCTCACGCTATGTCTGGCTAATTACCTGTGGCATAGTTACACTTCTGGCAGATTAAATTAACATAAAGCATGCCTAGTTCCCCTTGTTCACCTGCCTAAGTGCCCTGTGATTGACTGTGCCCTTGATTAACTCTGTCTGGGAGTGGATGGAATCTGCTTTTTGGCAAATTATAACTGGACTCTCCTGTGCTGCTCTCATGCCCAGTAATGCTGGGAACAGCCCTGGCTCAGCCAGTTGGGAATGGATGGATTAACCATAGTGTCTGTCGTAGCTGTGCCCTGTGCAGTGACTCTGGTGTTGGGTCAGCTATTGACATGGACGTTTCTCTTGTCTTTCCAACCACAGGATTGATCTCAAGTTAAACAAAAAGCCAAGAGCCGTAAGTATCCGTGCTCTGTCTGTGTTTTCATTGCTCACTAGAAGGGCTGGCTGACTCTCAAGCTTTAAAAACCCTCCTGCTGCTGCTGTCATTTGAGTTCTTACTGTCATGGTTGAGGAGTCACAGCGTGAGATCAGCATTGTCCCCTGGCTGTGACAGCAGCTGAGCCCAGGTGGGCTGTTCTGAGCCCAGGTCACAGATAACTCCTGTGTGCTTCTCATGGAAAAAGCTGCTTTGCATCCTGTTACCTTGTCATGATCTGGAGCATCAAAAGCATCTGGTTTGAGTTGATACTCGAGGCTGGAAGGGTCCTGCTTTTCAGTGTTTAGCTACAAGGAAATGATCTGTTTTCCTGCAGCTAGTGGTGTGTGAGATGAGAGAGGACTGAGAACCCCCAGCTCCAAGAGCAGAATCGGAGGTGGGAAGGTGTTAATGTGCATGTGCTGTCCTTTCTCTGCAGGACTACTAGAGCCATCAGTGCTGATGCTCCTGGGATTTAGGTCTGGGACTCCCCACTGAGAAGCCCTGAAGCAGGATGGCAGCTGCAGCAGGAGTGACTCACTCTAAGGGACTTGGATGGGGGGAGGAAATCCTGGACCATGTACTTTGCATCATTTTTAAATCACCCGAGTTGCAGGAAGACAAAGGTGGTGTAGTAGTTGTAGTAGTTCTGAATTCCTGACGGTTCTGTGCTTCCACCTTGGTCGGGAACTTGCTGAAAAGGCTGATACTGCTGCCCCCCTGTCACCTGCAGACCCACAGAGAGGCATTTCCTTTTCCACTGGAACTGGGGTAGGATTAAGTGTGTCCCATCCATGTTGTGAGACTTAAATTTACTTTTGTTGCTGATATTTAGCTTTGCAGGTTTGGTTTTGTTCTGTTTCGTTGGTTTCGTTGTGCCTTTTTTAAAGCTGAAGTGTATAGTTACAAGTTGACTTTGGGTTTCTTTGTTTAGTCCATGTAGTGGAAGGTTCTTCATTTTGTGGAGCAGCTCTTGATTCTTACTCAAGCAGAGAAGAAGGCAGTTTAACCCTTTTCTCTTAGTTTCATTTTAAACACCATCTCCTGATATTCCTCAGTGTTTTAGGTGCAGGAAGGGCCAGAGCTCAGAGCCAACTCTTCCCTGTCGCTGACTTTGGGTGGATTCTCTTTTTAATACAAACCTCTGTCATTTGTACATAAACAATAAAAGTTCCATGTTTGTCTCTTCTCATGGTTTATTCAGTCCAAACTTTGACTCCTGGTGCTTTTTAGTGTCCACCTGCTTCATGGGGACTTGCTGGGGTTCTTCCCCTTTGGCACTGGAGGTGTTCCTGCCCTGTGGCCCGTGGGAGGTTCTCTTGGTGCTTTCTCTCCTCGGGGCAGCTGTTCCTGAGTTCTGCAGGGAATGAATGCCAGGCTCTGTTCTCCAGCTGTTGATCCTGCTGCAAGGCAGGACTGCAGTGTGCACCGTTCTGCTGGCACAGTGCTTGCAGACCAGGGATGGATGTGCCAGCTGGATTGTCCCTGGGGCGGGACAGGAACCACGGCTGGGTGCTGCTCGCAGCAGCCACGGCACAATGTCAGAATCTCGGTGCTGTGCTTGAGCTGAGCTGTGGGGAATTGCTTTCTTTGTCAGTGCTGGGATGTGTTTGTGGAGCTCCTGCTGCTGGAGGGAGATGTGGAACAGGGGCCATGGGCCAGGGCTGTCACTGAGTCCCCAGAGCGTGCCCAGCCCGTGGCACAGCCGAGGGTTCGTGTGTTCTGCTGCACCTCTGCTCCCCTGGGCTTTGGGATCTTCCTCAGCTCTCTCCCGGCGCTGGGACTCTGAGGGAGCAGAGTTCTGCTTTGGGCTGTGTCTGATCTGGGGATCAGGACAGCTCCGTGTTTGTTCCTGCAGGGAGCTGGCTTATCCTGCAGGGAGCTGGCTTATCCAGCAGGGAGCTGGGTCTCTGCTCGGGGACTGGCGGCTGCTTCTCCACGGGGGGGTCAGATAGAGCAGCTTAAAGGCCAAGCTGCAAAGCCGGCCTACTTCTGTGTTTTAACTTGCAGTTAAGTACAGGGGCGTGGAAGATCTAGAGAACAGCACAAACTACAAAGCCTTGCTCCTCCATAGCTGGGAAAAAGAATTCTCAGCTGATGGTTTTGATTCCCTTGGTACGAAAACAGTTCTGCTGCTGCTGCTCCGAGCAGGGACGGCTGGAGCACCTGGATTTCAGAGGCTGAAGTCTCTGCTGCACCTCTGACCTCGAGGAAAGCTGCCAGACTTTCTTGGGTGGAACATTTTGGAGAAGCAGCAAAGGGCTGGTGTAGGTCAGAGCCTGTGTGCAGACAGGTTGTGTGGCAGGGTCAGCTCTGCATTCCCTGTGACACTTTGGGGTGCCGCAGGGACAATGGGGAAGTGCAGCCATTCCTGCCTCTGGCTGGGTTTGTCACCGAGGGAGGGGACAGCCTGTTCTGCAGCCTGAGTGGGCACATTGACTGGGGCAGGAGGAGAAACGGGACACACTTGATTCAGTCGAAGGATCAGCTGTTCCCTGCTGGGTCCTGACTCCAGCAGTTGTGCCTAAAACTTCCATTTGACTTCTGAACACTTCTGTTTTACTTCCTGAAGAACCTGAGTGACTAAACCCCCAGGATAGCCAGTGCCTAGCCACAGGAGTCAGAGGGAGCTGCACAGGCTTTACCTGAATGCTAATTAAAGCTAAAAATAGTGATTAGAACTATTTTCCCAGTCCTTTGCTTGTGAAAGATGAATCCTGAGCAAAGGAAAGCATAAAAGAGCACCCACCGTCCTTACGGACCCCAAAGGTGGAGCGTTAGGGAAAGGCTAATCCCTGCACAGCCTGTCAGCGGGAGGATTAGGCAGGAGTTTATCTGGTCGCCGAGGGGCAGGAGGGGCCGCGCCCGGTGCATGGCAGGGTAAGGGGCAGCGGGGATGGGGCGGCGGGGATGGGGCGGCGGGGGTCCCGCGGGCCCGGTCCCCTCTCGCCGGGACGGACCCTGACCCTGAGCCTGACCCTGAGCCTGACCCTGAGCCTGACCCGGCATCGCTGCTGGGGCTCGGGCAGCGCCGGGGGCTCAGCGGGTGCCGCTCCGCAGGTCCATGGGGCGGCAGCGACACCCGGCCCGGCCCCGCCGGGGGCGGCTGCGGCTGCTGCGGGCCGGGGGCCGCCGGCTGCTGGAGCTGTGCCGGGCGGTGCTGCGGGGGCTGCGGCGGCTCTGGAGCCTGGCCTGGGTCGGTACCGCACAGCCCTTCTCCAGGGACCGAGAACCCCTCCCCAGGGACCACACAGCCCTTCCCCAGGCACTGAGAACCCTTCCCCAGGGACCTCCTCACACCACTGCCGGCTCCAAACGCGGGGCGCTGCTGGGTGCAATTGCTGCACCACTGCTGCTGCAGGGAGCTGGCGGTTGTTGCAGCGGGAGGCGTGGGAGCACCTCACCCCAACACCCGCTGCACCTCGTCCCGCGGTGCTCCCTGGCTCCGGGCGCTGTGTGCTTGTGCCCACCGAGAGCCCTGGGGCTGTGGGGACACCACTCCAGGCTCTGCACAGGGCAGGTGTGAGCCCTCCTGTCCCCCAGGTGCTGCTGATGTGCTACAAGAGCTGCTGGGATGGCGCCTTCCAGGCCACCGAGGAGGTAACTCCTCTGCTGGGAGAGCCCGAGCGCTGGGCAAGCCCCGGGACAGCTGAGCCCGGTGGCACGGCCTGCTGGGCGGCACCAGGGGCCATTGGGCTCAGCTCCCCACGGAGCTGTGAGCCCCCAGGGTCCATGTCGGCTTCCAGCTCGGCACAGCCCTGCAGCTCAGACTAGAGGGAACTGAGGAGGAGGATGTGGACTCAGATTCTGCATGGGAACCTGGACAGACAGGTGGGTCCCTGGCCCAGGGGTGCCCCTGGGGCTGGCTGGTGCCGTGGGGGTGGGCAGGAGCTGAGCTGTGGTGCCAGGGCAGTGGCAGCGGCGCGGCGAGGCCATGCTGGGGAGGCTGGAGGCTCTGGAGGCCGATGTCCGCTTCCTCTGCACCGAGCTGGGCGCTGAGAAGCTCCTGTGGAGCAGCCGCTACCTGGAGCTGCTGCGGGAACAGCAGAGCCTGCGCCAACGGGTGAGTCCCGGGGGTGGCAGCCCCCAGAGCCCCTCGGACCCCCCAGACCCTCACACCCTGTCCCAGCTGCAGGAGCTGCCGTGGAACAGTGCTGACAGCCCCGAGCTGCCAGGGGAAGCAGAGGACCAAAGTGCCAGTGGGAGTGAGGGAGAGAGCCCAGAAGGTAGGGGCTGGGGATTGTAGGGGGCACAGGGAGCTGGGGACAGGGCAACGTGCTGACCTCTGCTAATGGGCAGTGTGGGTGACCCACCAGCTCCCACTGGGCACTGGGTGGCACTGGGCAGCCTGGTGCTGGGAAAGCTCCCAGTTGTGTTCCCATCAGAAGCCTGGCTGGGTGCTCCACTGGTGTTGTCCCCCCTCTCTGTCCCTTGATCTTTTCCAGGACGCCAGTGGCTGGAGGCACCGCAGTAACCGCGTGTTCCATCCAGCCTGACAGGCAGAAAATGTAAGTGAAGGTGTGAGCAGGGCCTCAGCAAACCAGGCAGGATCCACACCTTCCCCTGCCCAGGCCCTGCAGGACACAGCCAGGCTGGTGCAGTCCCAGCTGCGTCCTGCCTGTGCCTCCATCCCTTGGTGCTGGCTGGGCCCAGCCCCATCCAGCGGAGCTGCAGCCATTGCCCAGGAGCAGGACCCAGCTGGGGGCAGGTCAGGACAAGCCACAGGCCCTGGGTCTGCCCCGGGACACGTCACAGCCCTGCCCAGGGCTGACTCTGCCTGGTGAAGCTCACCAAGGAGCATCCTCCTGCTCTGCTGCTTGTGGGGAGTTCAGAAACAAGGATCTGGTCAGCCCCAGCTTCAGTCACCTTGCACTGGGGGTGAGGGATTGCAAAACTCACCCACTGACTGCCTGATCTGGCAGATCCATCCTCTCAGCTGTTCCTGCACATGTTGCAACCCTGGGCTGGCTCCTTGAGGCAGCGGCCAGGCAGGGCTGGGGGCCCTGGCTGGGCAGAACAGCCGGGCTGGGGCTGCAGGGCTGAGGGGCTCCCGGTGCCCTGGCCCAGCACAGGGGCTGCACCCTGCCCTGCTCCCCCTGTCCAATACAGGCACTCTCCATCGCTTGTGTCTGCCTGCTCTTTCCCAGCAGGGCTGGGACAGCTGCACCAGTGCCCTGCAGGCCTTTGGGGAGCGAGGGGGACAGGAGGAGCTCTGGCTGGAGCAGAGCAGGGACCAGCAGCCACCCGCAGCAGGAGCGGCTGGGATCTGTCCTCCCAACGTGCCCGTGCAGCTCCCACATGCAGGAACTGATGCAACGCCAATAGCAGCGGCCTGAGTCACCCTGCACCCACCCGGCCCGGGACAGCCCTGAGCTGCTCACAAACACCGCAGGAAACCAGGGCCTGCCAACGAACTGGCAGTGCCACGGGGCCCCAGGCTGTCCCCCCACTCCTGCAGCAATCACAGCACCCTCCACGCTGCCGTGATGGGACAAGGTCCTGCTCCTGCTGTAGCCACCACTCATCTCTCCGGGGCAATCCTTGTGCTGGAAATCCCCAGCCAGGCCACGGGGGCAGGAGGAGGAGGAGGAGGAGGAGGAGGAGGAGGGTGACATCAAGCAGCATTAGCTACAGGAGGAGGGGGGTGACATCAGGCAGCATTAGCTACAGCCACCAGCTCTGCACCCCAACAGGAGCAGCCCCTCCCCACAGCACCTGCAGCAAGGCAGGAACCACCACGCAGCTCACAGAAACCTTTCCCAGCCACAGCCTCCTGACCTATTGCTTAACCCGAGGCTGCATTTACTCCATTTACACAAGTGCTATACACACTTGTGCAACCCTGCTGCCCAGCCCGGCTGGGGCCCTGCGTGGCTTTGGCAGGAAGGCTGAGCAGGCTGCTGCTGCCCAGCCAGGGCTTTGGCTTCAGGGGCAGCCCCTGGCACTCAGGGCCCTTAGAAAGCAGGTGAGAGCTGAAAAGCGTGTGGCTGGAGGCCAAGTGCTGCCAGCACCACCCCAGCCTCCCCCCACTGCCCTGGGGCAGCACCCAGCTCCTCCCCAGCCCCTTTCCCTCCTGTATGAGCACTGACTGCAGTTACTGCTCCCTGCAGCGCTGTCTCACAGGGAGGCTGTGCTGCAGCAGCAGTTTGGGGTGCAGGAGCAGAGCTGCTGCCATGCTCCGTACATCCACTGCTCTCTACAGGGAGAGCAGCAGCCTCAGCTCTGGGTGGGTGCTAAATCTGGTCCCACCACTGCACCCCCATGATGATGCACACACCCCATCCCCTTTCCTTCCTCTGAAAATGCTTTAAAATATTGAAACTGAGCTAGCCACATCCTGGAAACCCCCAATGGGAGGAACCAGCTGAGTTCAAATGGAAGTTCAGGGAGTAAGGGCAGCACAGGGCAGTGGAGAGATGAGCAAGCCCTGGAGAGCAGACTGGCCTGCCTGGAGGAACCAGCCTCTCCTGAAGCTCAGCACAAAGCTTCAGCTGACAGGATGAGGGCTGGGAAGCCCCTGAGCACAGGAAACCTTCAACAGGCCCATGTGTGACCTCCTTCCCTCCACCAGCCCTGAGAGCTGACACCCAGACCTGACCCAGTTTGGCTCACCCAGGAACACAAACACCAGCAGTCACAGCAGGCTCTACCCCCAACCCCAGGAAGTGCTAAGCCAGAAGATGCACCCCAAAACCCCCACCCTAACAGCCCCAGCAGGGTTGCCAAGGTGTCCAGGCAGGCAGCCCCATCACTCCTGGCACTGAGGAGCAGGTAGGGGAAAAAACGTGCAGCAGCAACAGTTCCAGCCAGCGTTCCCATTTCCCAAATCTCTGGCACCACAGTGAGCTGGGGAAATGGGGACACAACTTTGATGAAGGAGCAAACTCAGAGCACAGCAGTGGGATTGGGGCTGGGCTTGCTGGCTGCCCCAGCAGCACACTCAGCAGTCTGGGGGAGTAACTGCACCAGTCTGTGCTCGGGCCTGACCCTCCCAAACTACCCCGTGTGCCCCCAGGACTGGCACTGCAATGGAAACATCACAACCCGGGGCAGCTCCAGCTCTTCCTCTCCTGGCTGTGATAATGAACTTCTGCACTGATTCCTTTAATTGTTTTTCAGAGCAGCTTTGAGACACAAAACCAAACATTTACCCCTTTACACATCCCGTAAAACTAGAATTACCTATTGTCTTTTACAGGAACACCAGCCTTAAAATCCTGCAGATCCCATGAAGGACAGCAGCAAAGTCCTCACCTGGTTAACTGTGCTCAGATCCCTGACACACCTCTCCATTCCCCCACCCCACACACAGCCACAGCAGCTCTGTCACTGCACTGACAGCCTCAGAGGCAATAAAGACTTCAGGCTGAGAGTTGCAGGTTTGTTTTGAAATGCAGCTGGTCTCTGGGAGCACCTGCCTCCCTGGTTTCTGATTAACTAGAGAGTCACTGCCCTGTGGTAAATGAAGAGCACAAGTTTCAATACAGAGCATAAAGTTATTTAACCAGCGAGATAAGAACATGCTGTGCTACAGTGGAGCAGGTGGGAGGGGATGATCCTTACACTGCAAGGTGAGCACTGATATTCCTGCTGCACTTGCAGCCCATAACAAATCTTCAGAGCAAAACCTGGACACGTTACCCATTCACATATTCCACATTGAACATATGACACAGATGTAAACTGGATAAAATATGTATTTATTTCCAAGCTGTACTGTGAAATTGCCTCTTAAAGCAAAAGACGGTCCATGCTAATTCCAAAATTGCCAGGAGTGTGGCAATTCTGCTGCTTTAAAAGGCAATAAATGCTGCTTTAGCACCCACGACACTCAGACTGTGGTGCTGAGTGAGAGCCAGTGCTGCTGCCCATCCCACCTGCCCTGCCAGCGCCTGCCCCGAGCACGGAGCAACCCCAGGGAAGCCAAATCAACAGCAGACACTGCACATGCCCTTATCTGCCACAGCACAGGGCTGGCTGGGTCTCACTGCATCGATTAACAGCCTGGCAATAACCAGCCCTCAGACTGCACACAGAGATCAAAGCCCTCAGAGGAACCTCAGGGAGGAAGGACAATTTCTCTGACTTTTCCCTTGGAAAGCCCACCAGAAAGTTGAATGTTCCTCCACAAAGCCACCAGAGACCAAACATGTGAATTCAGCAGTTTTTATTTCTATAACAGCTCTTTGCCAGGGCTGTCACATGGCTATTCAGTACACGACTATACTGCATAGTGATACAGAAAGTTCAGCAAGTGTCAGCTGGGGAGTACACAATGTTAATCTTCTCGTTGCAAGAGAGGCAGCAGATACCAGCATTCCACCAGAAACCCAAACCCACCTTGCCAAGTAACACATGGCTGAGGTGAGACCAGCATTGATTAAAACTGCAAGCAGCAAGGTGCTGAACAGTAACATTAAAAACCATTTTTTCTGTAATTTACAAATATGCAAAGTATTAGGTTACTTAAAATTAAGAAGCATTTTGCTTACTAACATGAAACATTACTAATTTGTAATGTATCATTATTAACCAGGTATACAGGTTCCTGCGTCCCTGTGGTCCCATGGCACATGGTGCCAGTCTGGGCAGGTCATTCCTTGGACAGGAGAGGGAAGAGCAGGGACAGCCAGCACTGCTCCCAGGAGGGGTTCAGGACCAGCTGCCTTCCACTCTCCCCTTCCTAATTTGCCACTCAATAACCTTGGTTTAACCACAGGAGGGTGTATTGTATTTAGAAACAATAACACACACAGATACAATGTGTATCAACAAATCAACTGCTTCTGGCCTGCACGTGCCAGGAATATTTCTGCATCCCTTGCACAGCAAAATTCCAGGACCAGAACCAATTACTACAGCAATTGGTTTTGCATATTTAAAATCTCTTACAGTACCTACAATAGAAAACTCACAGAGTAAGAGGAAGTGAAACAGGAACAGTCTTGCCAAATAAGTCTTACTCTACAATTCTGGATGCTGCTGTAGTTGGGCACAGCCAAAGGGGACAGGGGAATATTGGTGAGGAAGAAGAGGAAGCAACAGCTTTACAACACGAAGTAGTCAAGACTCCTCGGGAAGGCCCCTGGCAGCAGTCCAGATGTGACTGCAGCTGTTCTATTGCTGTTTGAAGGCACAAGGCACATAATAAATCCTCGTCAGTGCTGTACAGAGCCAGCCTGGGACAGGGACAGTTCCAGAGCAGCGCTCACAGCACGCTCAGCTCACCCACCCGCTCTGACACTGCAGCTGTCAGCACATGCCCAACACACACACAGAGCTCTGGAGCAGTGTCTGGCTGCTCTTCCTGAGCAGGGACTCTGCTCCCGGGAGCTGAGACCTCACTAAGCACTTGTGGTCCATGGGGCACAGTTAGGAAGGTCAGCTGAGGTTGGAAGGGTGTGGAAAACATTATTGAAGAAGTGCATCAGTAAAACCAGTTGGATAAATCCAGCTTCAGATTGCATTAATAACCCAACATCTGCCACAGATCTGAATGGTGGGATTTAGTAAAGAGGTTTAGTCAGGACCTAACAACAGCATTGATAAGGCATTTAGGTCCTCAAAAACTAGCCTTAGGCCACTACAAAGGCAGCACCCACTTCTCTCACATCCAGTTATGGAGAACTGCAGTTCAGGGTGTGCCAGACTCCCATGAACCCCAAAGGAACAGTCCTGCTCTAGAGCTGCAGCCTCCCCTTCCTGCTTAGCCCCTGGGGAAGGTGGGACGCTGGGGTGTTCTCACCTCTCCCACAGGCACGTGGTCCTAGCTGGAGCAGAATTTGCAGTGAGCACACCACATCTGGCACACAGCCTCCAGCTGGAGCCCAGTACTTCCAAAGGCACAAGAAGGAGCACTGAGAAGGCCTCTGTGGCAGCTGCAGAGGCAAACCCAGCCCCGCAAGCTCTCCCCATACCTGCCTGCCCTGGGCACTGCCTCACACACCCGGGTTCTGGGCCTTGTAGGTGAGGATCTCTGCTGCCAGCCTCTGGGGGTCCAGCAGCCGGGGGAAGCGGCCCATCACGGCATCCACCAGGTGCGGGTGGAAGATGCTGCAGAGCCTGACGTGCACCCTGGCCCGCTCCTCGGCGAACTGCTCCTCAGCAGCCCAGGGCCCCGAGGCCCTGTGCACACCGGGGGATCTCACCTGCGGCAGCGGGTACGGCTCGGACCAGAACTCCCGCGAGCGCGGCAGGGCGGCGCCGAACTCGCCGGGCAGGCTGTACTGCCCCGCAGCACCGGCGGGCACGGGCACCCCATAGCCTGAGAAAGAGCGGGCTGCTCCCGAGCAAGGCGGCTCAGGGCTGTACTGCAGGAAGCCAGCACCAGGGGAAGGAGATTTATGGGAGCCGTGGTTGTAGGAGACCAGCCCGTTCTGCTCTAAGCTGGGGGAATGCGGGTAGACAGGTCTCTGCCCACCGCAGGTGCAGACGGGCACCTGCTCTGCGTGGGAACGGTCACAGTGGCTGGTACACCTGTGAGGCCACATGTCAGACAGCTGGTTCTCCAGAGACCCAATGCCTGAGTCGAGATGCTCCTGAGAGATGTAAGACAGAGAGTCCATGGGAGGCTGCTGGTACCTGTCAGGGGAGACACTGCCCGACACACAGCCTTTGGCCTGAAGCACAACGTCACTGGGCTTGGCTTTGTGGGCCAAGCTCTTCCTCTCTGCAGAGACCTTCTGTAAAGAGCTTTTGTCACTCTCTGTGGGCACAGAGCACAAGAGCTCTGCCTGAGAACCCCGCTTCCCCTTCTTCTCCTCCTTGGCACTGGTACTTCTGGTTGGAGACAGCCTGGCATTGGCACGGAGTTCATCAGCTAACGAGCGCTGGGGCTGGTTGATCCTTTCAGGATGGTAGAACTTACACTTAATCCCATAAGTGCATTTTTTCCCTGTAAGGAAAGCCAGAGCATGAGATGACCAGCTGGATTGGACTAGATTATGAGTGACACTTGCACAGACACCTTGTTCTTCACATTAAGAAGGCAGGTCTCACCGTAAGGGCACTGCTGTTTCTTGTGTTCTGGAACTACAGGTTTCTTCCTGAGGAAGTTGTCCAGGCTGGGGCCATGACGCCCTAAGGGATCATCTGGAGGCATAAACCTAAAGAAAAACAAATCTCAGAAGCAGTTCACTTTTCTGAGTTGAGGCTGGGTTTCTTCCCAAAGTCTCCTATTTCATTGAAGATCAAAAGCTATCTGAGCCCTACAACGCTCCCCCACTTCCTGCAGAGATAACCCTCCTGCCACCCAGTCCACATCAGCACAAAATGCTTCCCTTCAGGCACAGAAGAGGTTCAATGCTTGGTTATCAACCAGAATTAGTACCTGCTGCTAACAATTGTCCTGTGAGGAAATTGCACCCTGAAGCTCTCCTTGGAGCTCCTAACTCCAAATTAGCAGCTACTAAGATGCCACCAACTTCTTTTGGCTTTGTATCTTACAGCTTTTCATTATTTTTTCACTAGCATTTTGCTTTTCTCATGTATCACTTGCTATTGCTTCATTAGAACAAGCCAGTGTGTTCACACAGATCTTTCTTAAAAGCCCAGAAAATGTGACCACAATGCTGTGGAGTGGCTACCTACAACAGAGGCTAGACAGAGTTAGGAGAATAAAGTGGGTATTTATTAAAGGCCTTCAATAGGTATATTTTGAGCAGTGCAAAAGCCTCACACAGGCTACACCCAAGATGGACCATGATCATGAGTTTTTCAGGCAGATCTAAGTTTGGTCTGTTTGAACATCAGGGGTTAATTGTCCAATTACAGCTTCAGGTAATGAAGTCATATTCCCCAGTTTGCTCTCCTTCCCCCAGTTCAATTTTGTTTGTACTTTTCAGGGCCTGAGGCAGAGGGTGTCCTTGATTCTCAGGCCCAGAAGGATTGTATTGTGTGACACAACACAAAGAGAGCTTACGAACACTATACGGAGTTTAGAGTTATGCAGCAATGCTGTACAACAGCTGAAAAAAATAAAAGCTAAAAACTAAAAGGAATGAACCAAAGGCTAAAAACCAAAAGGCACGAGCCATACTTGTCATTAACGAAGGAGTACATCAGCAGGCGCTCCTCGATGAATTTCTTCCACTCGGGCCGCTCGCCCTGCAGGTCGCGGTAGGTGTCGTTGGACACGATGATGCCGTCGGACTCGTGGGCCAGCTTCACGATGAAGCGGTCGTCGTAGCACACCACGCGCTTGCCGCCCACCCGCCGCGACGGCGTGAACACCAGGATCTTCTTCTTCTCCAGGTCACGCAGGATGTACTGGTCTGGAGCAAACACAGCCCTGAGCACACCTGCACAGCCCCTCACGCAGTTGAAGCAGTGTTATAAATAAATTCTGTCTCTCCGCAACTCAGACTGTACTCAGCCCTGCTCATCACCGTTCTGAGTTATTCAAATCTCAGCTCTCTGCAAGTTCAGAGCAAGCTCCCCTCGATTTGAATAATTCTGGCTAAATATGCTTCAGTTAAATACAAAGCGTGTCCCTGCAAGAGGAAAAAGTTCAGGAAATAAAAGACAAGAAGTTAGGAAGTAGAGCATTACATTCCTTGTCTTCTGAATTATTCCAACTGACTCAGGCAAAAGCTGGCTTAAGGGAAAAGTTAATGACTAATACTCCCTGGTCAGTTCAGCTCATAGCAGCTCCTACTACTCAGACTTTCCATTCTGAAGTTAATTACTGACTTAGCCAGAACTCTGCAAGATCACTAAGTGACAGAGCAGTCAGCCTGAAAAGCTGCTTTTGGTGTGCACATTTTCCTACCTGTTATGAGTACATCTGGTCGGGGCTGCTCCTTCCTCCATGATGGCACAAAGACTGTAATATCCTTGTGTCCCCTGTCCCAAAACCACTGGACAGCCAGAAGGATACCTCGGCAGGAGAACACTTCTTTATTCCCATGGCTGCAAAGGAGAAAATTACGACTTTAATCCCTTCATGATTCAGTACACATTAGCCAGGCAATGCAGAGCAAAGGGAGGTGGCAACTAGGACAAGCTTCAGCGAAGTGTTGAGGAGCACGGGCAGCAAACACAGACGCTTGCCTTGTGTAGCAACACCCTCACTCAGACCTGCCCAGTGCCCCCGTTCATTTCAGCACCTCATGATACCAGTAAACACCCAAATACTCACTGGGAGGGAGACAGCAGCTGGAACTGTTGCAGCTGCTCTGAAACAGTTCAACCCTGCACTTCTAATGGTTATTTTTAGCCCAGAGCACAATGTGATCTAAAACCCCTTTGTGCTGCTCTGACAGCTAATGCCAGTGGCTGTTTCCTGCCAGGGCGCACTGTACCCTCACTGGGTGTTTGCTTGCAAACTTGTTCTGATCACTTCAGGAAAACGAGGTATTTCATATGCACTCCCTTCTCAAGGAAAGATGATTCATTCCATGATGGCTCAAAACCTCATCTACAAATGCTCTATTTGCAGAAAATGGCATCATCTCCTGTCATCAGCACTGGATGAGAGAACAACTCATGGCAATTGGAGAACAAAGTTTGACAACCTTGTCAGAAGCCACATACTGATGCAAAAAGCTTCTTAATTATTCATTAGGTCATATCAATAAGTTTCCAGAACTTCTAGGAGGAAACTACCCCTCCTGTTTTACAAGCACTAGTATTTACAGTGCAATCAGCTCTTCTGCTGATAGTGGTTTTGGCAAGCTTTCAACACTTCTATTCCAGCCTGATATGTCACTGTGGGGACCCAACTGCCCGTGTTCCGTGACAGCATTCTGGGAACATGCACTACACCAAAAGGGGAACTGCTCTCAGAATTCAGGAAGGTTTTCCTCACCTGGTCACTACCTGTCCCAAATCTCACTCCTTCCATCTGCACCAGAATGGCATTTCAGCCCCCACCACCCCTCCCCAGAGCCATTCCTGCAGTGGCACTGCTGCAGCACCACTACAGAGAAGTTTCAGTTCCCCTCCCAGCCTCACCCTTTTTTTGAAACTACAAAAGAAATTGAAGAGCTGTACGAAAGTACTTATTCTAGAAGAACTAAACACTTGGCAACAGAACTAACACCTAAAGAGACACCTAACATACTTCCAATAAGAATCCTAAATTACAGAAGGCTAAAAATCACCATCAGAAGATGCTCTAAAAGTTTTCTCCAATATCAGATGGATTTACCTATTAATAGCCAGGGACAGATTACTACAGTTTTTTAGAGATAAATATAAAAAACAAATCCTTTTTGCTGGATGTTTTGTTAATCTTTGTTTTGGGTTGTTGGTTGTTTTTTGAGTCTCTGCAACCAACCTCAGACCTCCAGAAGGCAGCTAATTGGGCTGATCTGATTTGGCAGCAGCCAAGGAAAAATTCCCTTAGAAGGAAGTAAAAGCTAATTTCCACTACGATTTGCATAAGTTTGTCAAGAGCTGTTGAGGGAGGCCGCTGTACATACTGCAAATGAATCAGCAGGGAACATCACACCATCAATACAGGAAGTTTCAGAATGGAATTCCCCTTCTAGCAAATTGCTTTAAAAAGCCAGACTGCTTCTCATGTCAGACCCTGGGCTCTGGCCTGCCCTGACTCACAGCTGCTGTGATTTCCCCTCTGCATTTTGGGGTAACTTTCACCAGTAAGAGGCTCCTCACTAACAAACACAGCCAATCCTGCTGTTAAAGCCCAAGCACTTATCCAAGGTAAACTTTGCTGCCAGAGTTACTTATCAGCCCAGGCTCACAATAGGCCATTTCCCAGTGTTCCCAGAGCTGTGGAGAGGGTAGGAACTGGAACAGGTTCTCTTCAGGGGTGCCAGGCATGGCTTTCACACTCCAACCCTGTTCCACTGCCACCACCATTCCTCATCTACCCTCTGCCCCATCTTTCTCAGCTCTGTTCTCGGAACTGTCAGCCAGGGCTTGGCGAAAACCACACCTGCAAACAAACCTCCACACAGCACTTTCACCCCAGACAAACCTACTGCAAGCAACGCAGCAGCTCCACCCGCACCCAGGGTTATTTTTTATAAAATCTGCATGCACAAACATAAACAACAAAGAAAGCAGCTTCTGAGCTACAACAGAAAAAGAAAAAAGCTTTCAGAACATGGTGTGTTAAACGTCAGGAGTCCAGAACCTCTGCTATGCAGAGGTGGGGAACACATACTGCTGGGGTTGGGGTGAGGGCAAGTAATCCTCACCAAAGTAGGAACAAAAACTCATGGTGAAAATTTGGGATGTTACACCAATAAATGTCCAGCCCTGAGAGTCGATGCTTCATGGATACTGGGGGCTCTGGTCACAGAGTCCAAGAGGATCTGCTCCAGCAACACTGGGACACGTGAAATGTTGAGGATGAGCCAGGGACCTGCCTCGGTGACAGCTCTGACATCTCATCATTTTCTACCTTGTACAGAAATTCACCAATACACAAGAGGCCCAATTCGGAGACAAGTCTCCAATGGAGCCCTATATTACAAACCCTTCTCTAATTAACCCTATAATTATTTATTGAGCAACTTCCTGCTACGGAAACTTACACGAAGCCACTAGCTGAGAGGACAACGTCTCTTCAGTTATCCCCTGAGCGCTGAGCACAGGAGGAAGTGCTGGTTTCAGAGGAAGCACTGCTGTCCTCACCACTGCCCCGTGACTGGCGGCTCCGGGCGGGCAGAGCAGTGCCAGGGCGAGCCCGCACCGCCAAACGTGATGCTGATCCTCGTGGATCGGAGAACCACCTTGGAAAATATCACCGGCCCCCTCCCAAGCACCCAGAGGCGGCTGCTTTGAGCGGGGCACCCGCAGCCCTCGGTCCCGGAGCCCGCAGGGCTCAGAGCCCCCAGCCCGCCAGCCCCGCACGCACCTCATGGCCACGTTGCTGCCATCGATGACGATGGGCTTCAGGTTGTCGCTCTCCGCTTCCTCGGGGCCGGGCGCCGGGGATTTGTTGCCGGCGCCGCCCCGCGGGACCAGCGGGGCCTCGGCGGGCTCGGGCGGGGCCTCGGGGCCGTCCCGCTCGGCCGGGCCGTGCTTCACCAGCTCCCCCAGCACCGTGTTGGTGTCGGCGCCCAGGCCCAGCTTCTGCAGCACGCCGCGGATCTCCTCCGAGGAGTAGCCGAGCTTGCGGAAGAAATCCACCTTCAGCTGCAGCTCGGGGCCGTCCGCGGGCCCCTCGGGGCTCCGGCTCATGCCCGCGGCGGGCCGGGCGGGCGGCAGCGCCTCAGGCCAGCCCGGGGCCAGGCTGCCCGCGCTCATGGCTCCCGGCGGGCGAGTCGCGGCCTGGGCCGGCCGCCGGCACCTGTGGGGCGGCAGCGTTGTTGGTTAACAGCGTTGTTCGTTAGTTAGCAGCGTTGTTAGTTTGTTAGCAGCGCTGTTAGTTTGTTTGTTAGCAGCGCTGTTCGCCAGCACCGGCCCCGCTCCCGGCCCCCCGCACTCACCGCGCCGCTCGCTCCGCCGCGCCGCCGCCGCCGCTCCATGGGGCCGGGGCAGGGCGGCCCGGGGCCGGATTTATAGCGCAGGGCGCGGAAGGCAGAGCGAGGGGTGGAGCGCAGCCCCGGCCCGGCCCGGCCCGGCCCTCGCAGCTCCCGAGTGCCGCCGCCAGCGCTCGGTGACACGAGCCGTGCCCTGCGCCGCCCGGTCCCGGCGATGCAGCCGCCGTGATTCAGCCCCTCCTGGCTTATCAGCCAGCCGAGGAGATATGTATGCGCTGGCAGGAAACATCCGTCACCCACCCTGTGCCTTCCCTTCCACCTGTGTGGAACTGCAGGGGTTAAAATCTGCATTGTGAAAACTTCGCATCTCTGACTTCTGATTAATCATGCCTGAACAATTTGATGAAGGTAAATTGCAAATTTGCTTCCCCGAGGCCATGTGCCGGAGCCCAACTCAGGAGCGAGGAACTCTCCCACTTACAGGAATGCATTTGCATTCATCTTCCTTGTGGTTACCCCGAAACAATCATTTTTCCTTGTCTCTGGCTGTGTCTGAAACCGCACTGTGTGCTCAACAGTAACACACACACAGAGCGAGATTCAGATCAGAGATAATCCTTACTCAGTTCTTAAATAGGTGCTTTCCCAACACTTCTTTCCCTTGGAATCTACTCCAGTCAGCATGAATTTAGCATTGTTTGTGTGCTTTTGCTTCTAGGCTAAAGTCTATTGCACCAGAAAGTGTGGCCACAGATGTATTTCCTACAGGACATACCCCACGGAGGAGGCACAAAGCTGAATCTCCTGATTTATGCAAAGCAGTGGCAGCAGCCACATGGCTCTAATCTCTAATTTGGTGAAAAGAAGCCAGGAGAGAAGGAGGCTGTTGGCTTCTCCACCTAAAAAGTCAGAGGGAGTCGCATGCCAGTCACAACTCAGAGCTCCTCAGGGGTGATTTTGACAATTTTTTTTCTTTTTCACATTTGCAAACTGCTTTGAACAGGACATTTTTTTTTTTTTTTTGGTACTGCAAGGGCTATGGTGGAGGCTGCAGCTGCTGAGGCTATGCAGAATCACAGAACTTTGCTGGGATAGTGGATGCATGGAGGCTCTGCACCTCCAGGCAAGAAACTCTGCTTCTTCTGGGCAGTGCCGTGCCCACAGCAGGGCAGCTGCATCATGCCCTTTCTGCAGTGGGACAGGCTGTCAGCCTCTGTCCCTCTGTGACACATCTGTGGCCACAGAAAAGAGGTGGAAATCCCCATCATAGCACACTGGGCTGTTCCAAGGAGGAACCTGTGAGACCGAGGGGAGCGCAGGTGCTGGAAAGGCCAAATGCTCTCAGGATGGTCTTTAAGAGCAGCTAGCAGCATCTCATCCTGCTGAGCTGGGAATTCTGCTGTGCCAAAAAGGAACTAAAGCATCCAGGGGCAGCGGGGACCCCAAAGTGCTCTGTGACAGTGGGAGCCCATGGATGGGGTCAGTCCCTCCCCGTCCTCCACCTCCATCCCCTTCTCTGCTGACTCTGTAAGCTTTCCTCCAGCCTGGTTCCTTGTTCATGAACAAGTCCTCAAAATCTTGATGTCACATATTTCTAGGAATTACCACCCCCCATGTCCCAGATTTTAAAGGAAGAGCTCATCATCTGGCAGAGCCTTTCATCTCCCACTCATGCATTTAACACAGCCAAAATAGTTGATATTTAAGGCTGCCATTATCTGCTGGTGGGGAAGAAGCTGGCCTTGTGCCAGTTCCTTGAGAGGTGATGCCAGCTCTTTGCAACTCCTGCTAACCAGCCACAACCAGGAGCCCTGTCAGCAAAGTGGCCCTGGACCTGGCTGCTTCCCTATGGAAGTTCAAGGCAGCTAACTCACTTCTAAAAAAAGGGCTAATTAAATCTCATTTATAAAAGCCTATGTGGGACCATTATGTTAATTAAAGACAACTTAAATGGCCTTATTTAGTAGCATTTGGGAGTAAAGTAAACTGAATTAAGGCCACTTTAATTCTGAATGAGAATTTTATGCAGAATTTTAATGTTCTACTTTAGACTTAGTTAATTCAATTTAATTTTCTTAAGAATCCTGTATGGACAAACCCTGAACAATGAGGTACGTGCTAAGGCACCTGCTCCAAGCTGGGCTCATCCCTCAGGTTCTCAGGGATCCGACAGGGCTGGGACTGGCTGCCTTGGGATCTGTGTGTTTCCAACAGCTTCGGTGTCCTCAGTGCCTTGCTCATCTCTGGAGTGACCTGATGGCTCATCTCACTGCACTCACGTACAAGTGCTTCTGGTGATGAACTGAATTCTCCCATCACCTGCAACTCAAGGACTCAAGAAGCTCACAGAGCTGCCTCTGGATTTCCTTTTACAGCGAGCAGTATAATTTATTACAGAGGACTCAGCACATTCCGGAGTTAAAGGGAAAACAAATGACGATTTACACCCTTTCTTTGGAAGAGGGTCATCGTGCCTCATGAGGAAAGCTGAGCAGTAATGCTGGAAGCAGAGCTGAGCAACATCCTTTTATGGTTGTTTTTACAGTGCAGGCACTCAGGTTCATGGAGATGCTGCTTGCGAGGTCTGCAGCTCTGGCTGGCCTGGGTGAAGAAGTGTCTGATGGCAGAAGCATCACGGGTTGCTGGAGTGAAAGCCAGCTGAGCAAAGCCCAGTCTGGACACACGCCCAGTGGCATGAGGCACTGAGGGAAGATTACTCCCACTCGTTTGTTGGGCAAGAGCTTGTGGCCTTCAGACCCCAGTGCTGTGTGCTGTCGTGATTCCAGAGGAGAAACAAAGCTCAGCTCTTCTCAGAAAAAAGGAAAAATGTAGGAAGGGAGGACTAGAGGAGAAGCTTATCAAGAATGTACAGAACTCACGTTTGGAGCCTGTATATCTGCAGTCCTTGTCACACTGCTTGTGGTCCTCCCAGTGCTGCCTTCACCCACGAGTATGGGATTCCTATGCTGCAGACTAGTAGATGGATTTTTCTCTGAAATATTCTATTTTGAACTTATTCCATGGGCTTTAAGGAGATCCTCATAAGCACTCTGCAGAGTAACTACTCCCTGAGTAGCCTGAGGGCTCCTTGCAGAGCAGGCATGTTTCTAAGCTCTGGAAGAGAGTGCAAGCTCCCCAGGGACCATACCAAGGGAATTTATTTGGCTGTCACCATGTGCCTGACTAGACACGGCCTTAGGTACTCTCCTGTGAGTAAGCAGCCTTGATCTCTACCTTTGGTCTTAGTGATTGATGGCATTAAGTTATAGGATGAGCCTATCTCCTCAGTGACAGATGGATTGGGCACACCCTGACAATCTTTTTCTCATGCACTTTTGTCAAGGAGAAGAGCCATCCTTCGAGCACCTTTTGGGCTATAAATCTGTCATTGTTGAAGGCAGCAGAGGCAGCAGAAGCTTCACCATCACCTGGGCTTTCAGCTCAGAACAGTTCCTTGACACCCCTGTGCCAAAGCCAGGGGGGAACAGTCCCACTGTCCCTGCCCAGGCTGCATCAGAGATTCGATATGTGGTGACACCTTCCCTTTGTGATCACCTCATCCCAGCAGTGTGCCAGCAGCAGCACCCAGAGCACCCGCACTCCAGCAGCACCCTCTCCATTCTGAAGCAGCACTCCTGGCTCGCCAGGCAACCAACCTCAGCTTTCAGCAGCTAGATCAAGAGCAGAGAGAAGCAACAAATTCAAGTCATAAATAACTGGGGAAAACCGAGCAATTGCGCAAGTGGCTGTGACAGCAGCATTTACTGTTTTGCTCAGCTCTTCCCAGCCGCAGCCGCTATGCCGGAAAATGTCCCCTTATCCAGAAATGTTCCCCTTAGCCAGAAATACCCCTGCCTGCTCAGCCCCAGTTTAGTTTAGATGCAGTGTCTGCAGCTCTTGACATGCCTGGGAGCATTCACTACTTCAGAACTAAAGGAATAATAAAAGTTGAACAAACACTTCATGGTATTAACATAAGATGTTTAAATAGACAGTCACAGAATATTTTATCTCACCCAGACCGATGTGAAGAGCAGAAGATTTATGCCTATTGCTAAGCAAATACCTCCTAAGAAGTCACATCCTTCTGGGAAGTGGTTTTTCTAAGGGACGGAAAAGCAGAGCAGCGGTGTCTGCTCCAGGCACCCAGGAATTCAGGGAAGGACGTGGCAGCCCCTCTGAAGCCCCAAACCCAGTGAAATGGGTTACTCCTGCTTAACTCCCGGTTAACTCCTGGACAGCTTGGGGACCTTCTCTGCAAAGCTGGCTGCTGAGTCTCTTGGGGGACAGGCTGAGCTTCCCTGGGCTTTTCTTAGAAATGGGAGGTCCTGACCCTCATCACACATTGCCTGTCAGGAAATTCATTTCCTCCTTCTGCCGGCCAGCGGGGTCAGCACGGACCCCAGACATGGGGCTGTGTGGTCATGAGGTCCCTGTGCTTATGGGGTCCCTGTGCTTATGGGGTCCATGTGGCCATGGGGACTATGTGCTTATGGGGTCCATGTGGTCACGGGAGCCGTGTGCTTATGGGGTCTGTGTGGTCATGGGGGCTGTGTGCTTATGGGGTCCTTGTGGTCATGGGGTCAGTGTGCCTATGGGGTCCGTGTGGTCATGGGGGCTGTGTGCTTATGGGGTCCATGTGGCCATGGGGACTATGTGCTTATGGGGTCCATGTGGTCACGGGAGCCGTGTGCTTATGGGGTCTGTGTGGCCATGGGGTCAGTGTGCCTATGGGGGCCATGTGGTTATGGGGTATGTATGGTCATGGGGGCTATGTGCTTATCGGGTCTGTGTGGTGATGGGGACAGTGTGGTCATGGGGGCCATGTGGTTATGGGGTCTGTGTGGTCATGGGGGCGCTGTGGTTATGGGGGTCGTATGGTCATGGGAGCTATGTGCTTATGGGGTCCGTGTGCCTATGGGGTCCGTGTCCCTATGGGGTCTGTGTGCCTATGGGGTCCGTGTCCCTATGGGGTCCGTGTCCCTATGGGGTCCCTGCGGTCACGGAGGCCATGCGCTCACGGGGCCGTGCCGCTGCCCGCAGCCTGCGCAATGCGTTCGCGGGCGGATGTGTGTCAGCGGGACTCACACACACACACACACACACACGGCCCCACAGCCCCACGGCCCCACAGCCCCACAGCCCCACGGCCCCACAGCCCCACAGCCCCACAGCCCCACAGCCCCACAGCCCGGCTCCGCTCGCCGCTCCGTGATGTCAGTGCCCGCTGAGCTCTGACTCAGGAGGCGGCAGTGCGGGCAGGCAGGGCCGGGGGGCGGCTCCCCCCGGCTCGGGCTGCACCTGCAGAAGGTGTTATCCTGCCCGCCCAGCAGGGAGAGGCGGCTCCGGGCGCCGGGCCAGGCTGAGCCGTGCGGAGCGCAGCGGTCGCCGCCGCTGTGCAGCGCTCCGAGCGAGCGGCACCGGCCCCGCTGCTGCGGGAACAGCCCCGCGGAGTGAGCTCGGCACGCCCGGGCTCTGCTCCTCGGCCGGGGATTCCCCGCTGCAGGCCGTGTGGGGCTGCTGCACACAGCCTGCTGCTGGGGAGCTGTGGGTCCGTGCGGGGCCCGGCCCCGGGAGCTGCCCTGGCACAGCACCCGCTCAGGATGCTGTGGCTCTGTGGCTGGCGGCTTGGGCCGCTGCCACCCCAGCCCGAATCCTGGTCCCCCTGCCGTGCCACAGCCGGAGAGCCCAGCCCGGCCCCAGCCTGTCTTTCCACTTTTACACAACTGTGCAGGAGTGATGTGTTTATTGCAAAAGAGCTTCTGGAGCGGAGACTCCAGAGACACAATATTCAGTGTGTGGGATCTGAGGTCTGTTTGTCAGACGGTTTCAGTTAAGACCTCACCAGTCTTAACTTCCTCCCAAGCCCACACACCTGATTCACAGCTGACATCAAGGAAAGGGGCAGAGAAGGGATTGCACGTTTGTTTCCCTCTTTGGGACAACTGTCCCTTTTCCTAAGAATCAGATTTGCTTTCTCAGCCTTCCACCTAGAGGCCTAAGCGAGCCTTTGCAGCCGAGTCTAAATGTTGTGATTTATTGTCTCAGCTTTGTGGAACGAGCGTTTGGGATGAGAAGGATGATGAGATGCAGAAAGCAGGTTAATGATTAGCCAAGGCTGGTTAATGCCACTTCCCAATTCTGATGATAAGCTCATGTTCTTTGTTGGGCTTGTCTGTCCAATCTGATGTCCAGAAATGAAAACTTGTCCTTAGGTTTATAATCTTAAATTCTCTCTACAGTAACCCAGTAAATTCTGATTGCTCAAAGCAGGAAGTGGATCTGGTGTGCCTCACCCCTGTCCCTGTTTGCAATCCTGCCTCTTTGGAAACGAGGAAGAGCAGCACCTCCTTCTCTTCCTGCTCCATGCAGTGTTTCTGTGAGGGTAGAAAGTTGCCCATTTTGGTAGAAAATAATTGCATTTTGGTAGAAAACACGTTTTCATGAAAACAGGAGGCTGGCTTTTGCTTCCCATTTCAGTTTACTTTAACAGACACATTAATGTGCTGATGAAATTAAGGGAATAACCTGTGCATGCAATAGCTCCCTAAGAACCATGAACAGCAGTGACCCAGCAGCCTGTTCTGACTCCTCAGGAGGTGCTGTGCTCCAGCAGCCTCAGTTTCTGGGTTTTGCTGTTATCACACACTTCAGGCTGCTCCCACACAATTGTGATCCCCACAGTCCTGTGGGAGGCTCTGCAGAGCTGCCCAGAGAGGAATGCTGTGTGGATGGGGGGTCTGAAATTTCCAAAGAAATGTCTTTGACTCTTCCTGAAGGGAGCAGTTGAGCACCTCCCATTGCAGTGCTGCTGGGCTGCTTCTCTGCTCTGAGCATCGCCAGGTTACAGTGCAATGAAAGTCTCCTGAGCAATAAATACTGATCCATTTAACATGACTCTAAAAAATCCATGCCATTAACCTGTTGTAGCTTAAGGTATTTAAACAATTCTCTGTCTTTTTGTAGTTCTCTGTAATAATCATTAAATGACCTTTAAAATGGCAGTGGGTGGAAAAATTGTGCAAAGCTAAATAGCAATTCAGCAACTGCTGAAGGAGGTTGAAAATCAAGTAGAAAAAACTCACTTTGATGTAAAGGGAATTGAAGCAATCAAGTCTGAAGCTGGAAGTTTGTTCTTCATTTGTGTTGATTTACAGATCCCATTGGGCAGAATAAATATGGGATCACTGAGCACCCAAGGGATCAGCAAACACCTCCCTGTGCATAGGAGCTTCCACTGGCCTCAGCTCCCTTTGTGCTCAGTGTCACATCTGCCCCAGAGCAAGGGACAGCAGAGTGGTGACAACAAATTTGCTTTGCCACAACCAGCGGCTGTTGGAGAGTGGTTGAAGCTGCTGAGGGAGATGCCTTGTGAAGGCTGAGCTAGAACAGAGACCAGCCAGAGCTAAAGAATAAAGAAGGGATTTATTAAAAGGCCTCAATGGATCCACCTTGGGCAGTAAAAGAGCCCAGCCAGGGCTACACCAAAGATGAATTAAAATGGTCACAAAATGGGCACTTGGTCATGGGGTCTCTCACTTTTTGTAAGCTCTGCTCCATTTGCATATTGGAATTAATTGTCACATTACAGCTTTAAGTTACGAAGTCCCACCCTTCTTGTTTTTCTCTCTTCAGCCCATGTTGTTTCTGCTCTTGGGCCTGAGATTTGGATCATTTGTCCTTGGTGCCCAGCTGGAGAAGGAATTGTTCTGTCTTCCTGCTCTGTGCAGAGAACTCACCTCCCCTAATATGAAGCTCAGACCCACACACTAAAGCAGCACAGAATGTGAAAAACATAAAAGCTAAACCTGAGCCATCAAGGGTTTTAGTCCTTCTGAGGATTCCTCACAAGGAGCTGCTTAAATCTCCTGTGTGTGCTCACACAGCAGGTCTGAAACACGAGGCTGGAGAGGAAGGAGCTGGTCCCTCTTCCCCAGACCCACCTGCCAGGCAGCAAAAGGCCCTTCTGCCCTTGTTGTTTTGATGGTTTCACCATAAAAGCCCTGAGCAGGGCTGGGGACACACGGGGCTGGGGACACACGGGGCTGGGGACACACGGGGTTAGGGTGCACACAGCTGGGGGCTCCTGTGTGCCTCACCACAGATACCTGGGGGCAAACAGTGATGGGTGACAGAGGGGGCAGAAACACTGGTGGGTGACAGAGGGGACAGGAGCACTGGTGGGTGACAGAGGGGACAGAAACACTGGTGGGTGACAGAGGCCAGGCCAGGCAGAGCCTGCAGCATCCTGGGAGAGGAGCTATTGCTGCACTGCTGCTGGCACTGCCTCCTTCCTGGTATCACCACTCCGCAGCCTTGCGCTGGATTTGATCCTTACAATACATGGGATTTATCTCTCTCACTTTCATGTGCCTTTAAGGAAACACCACTCTTTATCTCATTTCTGCTGCTTTTTATCATCACAAAGAGTTTTTAATGAAATGAGAAAGCGTCTGTTTCTGTGGGCCGACGTGGCGTGGGTAATTTCAATATAAAACAAACAAGGCGGCTTTCAAAATTAAAATTTTATGTGTGGCATTTTCTCATTTAACGGAATGCACAAAGACGGGCAAAAGCAATTAACGGGAGGTTGAGACTCAGCAACTGGCAAAATTAAACAACAGGACTCTGCAAATGGAATGATTTGTTCAAAGAAAGCTGGAGAAGGGGATGGAGAGGAGGGCGGAAGCAAGGCTGTGATCAAAAATCCACCACTTCTTAAAAATAACTGCAGGCAACCTGCTTGTTAACTCCAGAGTCCCACAGGCCAGGTGGAAACACTGGGGAATGGCACAGCCTGGCAAAGCCATCTTTTGGGGAGAGCTGGGGATGTCCCAAGTCGGGGCTTGGATGCTGTGAGTGGCAGGAGAAGTTGGCTCCCAAAATGTACCTGCCCCAGAGCAGCAGCTTGTGTGGGGTGTAGGGCTGCTTGAAGGACCCTTCAGCTGAGGGCTGCTTC